ACTGCTAACAATGTGGCCAACAAAATAGAGTACATAGACCATATGCGAATGCTTGCATGAAATATCGGTGAAAAACTTGGACAACGATACTATTAAAAAGTACATAAGACAAATATAATAATTGTTATTAAAATTCATATAAAATTACTACGAATATATAGTTAAATGATACTATAATGCAATAAAACAACGCTGAAGTTATAAACCAATTTATTTTTGACAACATCCATAATAGTTCGCGAGTTACAACGAAGTTACTAGACAAATACGAACTTATAATACGGAACTACAATCGCAATATCAATCTGCTTTTCTACAACAGGGTAAAAACAAATAAAGACCATGTAGATAACAATAGCAAGTTGTACAATTAGCGAGCGGGAAATTAATATTCATATAAACACACGCAACTTGCATAAACAACTTATAAATTTGCATATGTTATTAAACAATACGTGACCGCTGTGGACTTCTTACATGTGAATTAAATACCATTAGGCATAATTGTAGATAGATAGATAAAAAATTTATTCACGTTATAGGCACACATATACAAGGCACTGGTAATATTAACAATAAAATGAAAAACAAAAACATTGTAGCACAAATCAAACAACAAACAATATCTGGGTACCTCTGCCTCATCTAATTCTGCCGATAATTCTTCATTTTGATTTGAAGGGTTATGTACGAGTTTTTAAGGACTTTATTTGTCATTTTTTGATGCACTATATACAGCATGATACCTTAATCCAAGAGATATGGCATGGTATGGCAACCCAGGATGTACATATGTTTGTAATAATATTTTGTTGTTTTACTGCTCACAAAGAATCTTACAATTTAAATAAAATATATATAAACTTACAAGTTATTTCTTCTGAGAGTCTGGAGTCTGAACTTGATCGAAATGTGTACAGATCTCCAGGGGTCCTCCGAGACCTTAATGTACTACGTACGTACGTACACCTTACTTACTATATACGTCATTAAAAATATTAATAAATCTATTTGTGAGGTGGTCTTACAATGTTTAGCTACGTCTGGTGGTTATAGTCAATGACATTGGTGAGTATCAGATGATAATGGTGAGTATCTAAGAGTGAGTATTTAAAAGAGCAACACGCAAGTTTCTTGCTCGTTCTTCTTGTGATGAGACAGCTTTCCGAACGAGCGGTAGATTAAAAAAAATGTAATGACTATTCAAAAGTGCTTCAATGTAAGTTTATTTGAATAAATGATTTTCTATTCTATTCTATTCTATCAGTTTCCACCTCAGGTGAAGTCTTACAATTTTTAGCTAGATGTGGTGTTTATAGTTGACGGTAAGGGTAATTATCAGTTACCATCATGTGGCCTGGCAGCTTGTCAGTTGTATAAAGAAACCTAACGGGGCTACATCCTTTTGAAACTTCCTTTTAGATGAATTTGTACTCTATTTTGTAAAAGGATTTGAATAACATCACTTGGTCTATAGTTGTAAATTGGCTAGGAAATATTCACATTGTTTTTAGGGACCGCTATCGTGGACCTAGTAGGGTATAATGGATATAGATTTAGCAAATAAACATAATCTGTTCATCATCATCATCATCATCGCAGCCCGGAAGACGTCCACTGCTAGACATAGGCCTCCCGCAAAGATCTCCACGACGATCGGTCCTGCGCTGCTCGCATCCAATGCCTTCCAGCGATCTTGACCAGATCGTCGGTCCACCTTGCTGGAGGCCTTCCCACGCTGCGTCTTCCGGTCCGTGGTCGCCACTCGAGGACTTTACTGCTCCAACGGCCATCTGTCCTACGAGTTATGTGCCCTGCCCGTTGCCACTTCAAAGTCGCAATTCTTCGGGCTATGTCGGTCACTCTATTACTGGCTCTAAATCAGCTGTAACCGTATCAACATTTAGGGAGTCTCTAACGCTCCCAAAATTTTGCACGCTCTTCCAAATTTAAAACATCTGAAGCAGTTTAGAGATAATGCGACAGCATCGGTTGTCCAACGGTGTAGCACACCGCCTTACTTCCGATGGTCGCGGATTCGATTCCTCGCACGGCACAAACATTTCTATTCATGCGTATGATTATTTCTATCGATCTGGGTGTATTCTATGTATAATATGTATGTTTTTACGAAAAATCTATGTATTTGTGTCAGTTGTCTAGTACCCATAACACAAGTTTTAGCTAGCTTAACTTGGGTCTAGATGACGCTGTGTGAATTGTCCTGAGATTATTATTATTATTATATAAAATTGAAAAAATGTATATACAGAACTAAATAACTAAAACGTAGTTTCGAGATCATCATCATTTGCTGATTGTCCCTTTAATTTTATCTAATTACCTAATCACTCGAAGATAGTGTTTCTGTTGATAACTCGATAAATCGTCGATAATTTTTTTGTATCATTAACCGAGATAAATATGCACTTTCTTCGATCACGTATTCAATTCTCGTTCAGACCAATTTATTTTACAATTTTTATTTGACTGTGCCGTTGTTGGATCATGTTGGAAGTCGCAATCGCATCGACATCAAGAGAAATGCATATACTAAAGAAAGTCCATAATTGATGTTAATACCCCTCATACATAGCCATTCCACAGAACTAAAGCATTAAACATCTTATTATTATTATTATAAACGCAAAAGTTTGTGAGTATGGATAGATACTTTTAAACTTTCGTGTTTAATATACATTATTTAAATTATTAACCGGGCCTTAACACGAATATTTTATGGCAAATATAGGTATATATTATTTACCTCTCTCGACGTTTCGACTAGGTTGCACTAGCCGTGGTCACGAGCTGACTGGAGTAACAGCGATGTCAATGTCGATAGGTGACAGCAGTTTTTTCTTCATCTACCGTCACTAGATTGTTTAACGAAAGTTCGCGACACACAGCACTCACGGTATCCGTACACTTATTGACTATTGATGCTACTGAACTTTGCTTGAATTTATTTATGACTGGATTCCACGCAAATGATAATTTTAAGCCATCCTCTCTGTTGAAATTGGGATGTTTATTAATTTCAATCGCCTCCCGGACCATTCGTGGGTAATAGTGGCGATCAGTAGATATTCGTGTTAAGACCCGGTTAATAATTTAAATAAAGTATGGATAGATGTTTTTTATTCTTTCACGCAATAACTACTGAACGGATTTTAATGAAACTTTACACTAATATAGCTTATACATTAGAAGAACATATAAGCTATTAATTTCATGGGTAAAACTGTGGGCACATTTAGTAATAATAATAATATCTCAGGACAATTAACACAGCGCAATCTAGTCCCAAGCTAAGCAGAGCTTGTGTTGTGGGTACTAGATAATTGATATAAATACATATATATTTATTTAATATGTACGTACATAACATTCTAGAAGAGGGGAGAAGGATATTGTTAGTAATGTGGACTAATGACCCCATTGCTAGCAATGTACCATGTCAGATCGACCTCCACGCGGTTCCCCCTGGAAACCATCGTGATACATTCCCGGTGAATATGTCACGTTGGGCTAACTGATCTGACTACATGTTCGTCTTATCATCCTCCACTGGTGCCCCGCCAGCGTATACCGTTAGCGCAGGCGGGTGCAGTATTCCATTATCATCCTTTAAAAAAAATCTAGAAAGAAGCAGGGGATTGCTAACAATGTGGACTGAAAAAGACAAAAAAGAGGACAAGTTTATTGTTTGTTTTGTATTTATAAAATTGTATATAAAAATATTTATCATAATACACTAAATTATTTAATTTCATTCACATATATATGTATATATAATTAATGAAATTATATTATATTTAATTAAGTATGTCAATTATATGATCAGAAAGTGTATAGAAACATTTTGTAATTAATAATTTCTTAATATCTCTAATAAATAATGTAAGTCCAATAAAAATATGATAATAATTTTTGTATAAATTTTTTTTCTCCTCTTTCAATCTTTAAATGAATGTGAACCAACGAAGTGGATGGAAGAAGTAGTATGTATGTGTCGTAATTTATACATTTTGTTATCGAATTGATTATCAAATCAAATATATCATATATAGAACGATAAACATAGGTCTACGTGAATTGTAATTGTGAAATAGGAATAATAATAATCTCAGGACAATTCACACAGCGCCATCTAGACCCAAGTTAAGCTAGCTAAAGCTTGTGTTATGCGTACTAGATAACTGATACAAATACGTATATATATATAGAATAACCCAAACCGATACAAACAATCATACTAATAAATACAAATGTTTGTGCCGTGCGAGGAATCGAACCCGCGACCGTCGGACGTAAAGCGGTGTGCTAGACCGCTAGACCACCGAGTTCGTCAATACAGTTATATAATTCGAAAATTCGAGTACCTGTATCAACATTTTAAAATATTCGATTTGTTAGTACCAATCAATAAATTCAGATGAAATATTAAATAGCTGTGCAATACAGTTATCTGACTTTAGAAATCGCTAGACAACATAACATTCATATCGTATAATACAATACCTAACCATGCAATGAAATACAACTAATAAATCACCTTCTATTACATTTATATTCATCACTAACTGTTCCCGCGACTTCATCCGCGTGGAATTTAACTTTATTTTTCTAAAATAAAACCCTAAGTTACCTTATTACATCGGCTACAAGCCAAAAAAAGTCCCATCAAAATCGGTCCAGCCATTTCAGAGATCAGCCGAAACAAACAGACAGACAAAAATTGACAAAAAAATGTTAATTTAGTGTATGTACCGTATTTATATTCATATGCTTGAAGTAAAAAACGGTTATTTCAATATTACAAACAGACACTCCAATTTAATTTATGTGTATAGATTTAATTGTGCAACGGCAACTGAACCGTATACTCTACGAGGGAATGCAATGATTTCTTATAACCAGACATAAATAGGGAGTAAATTGAATTAGTCGTCGCTTGTGGGTGATGAGGCCCCTCGTGCATTCCGGCCGAAGACGCAAGGGCGCGCTCCCGTACGAGAGCACAGTTCCTTTTATTGTATATAATTAGGCGAAATCAACAATTAATACAATCGTTATCGCACATTAGTGCCGTCGACTCGCGTGCCGCTTTCGTGAAGCAATGTAGTAGTGCATCCGCGCGCGCCGTCCGAGCGAGACATGAGTTTGTTTACGCAGTCGCGCCGCGATAGTCCAACGTCTATATCAACACAGTGCACCCACTGCATCGAGATCGTGGAACCGCAGCCGGAAGACTGTTCCGGCGCTCCCCTCCCGCCTGAAGGCAACGTCAAACTCCGCAACTACCGGCTGCTCAACGAGAACCTCCGCGCGTATTCCCCGACCGGCGATATCCACACCTCACCAGCCAAGGGCAAATTGGTGTCAAGGTTCGACGTCTGCTCAACCATATCGCCGCCAAGAGCGAAAATACTCGAGCTGCTAAGGCCGGAAGATCCCGGGCGGGATGCATTGGAGGCGATAATAAGACCGGCACCTCGTCGAGGTCTCGCGCGACCGCTCGATGAGGATACGCGTCGGTTTCTGCAGAGAGCTCTACTCTCCCCGAGCCCGCAAGGTCTGTCGCTGGCCGCTACGCCAGAACCTCCCAATCCACCGACAGTAACCTCCGAAACTTTGACAGAATCAGTGAATTTCACACAGCAGCTACAAAATTCAAAATTAGAAAGATCTCTAGCAGACGAGTTACGAGAAGCAGAAGAAGACGAGCGGTCGGGAGGAAACATTCGAAAGGAATTGCTGAGGGAATTTAGAAGGAGAGGTGGGGGAGTTCGAGAAGCAGTTGAGAGGGACCGATTGGGGAAGTTGGCGTTATCAGTGGAGGAAGACGAAGGAGATTGCCAGGAGGAGAACGGGCTCAGTGCGGCAGCGCGGCGCCTGGACGCGCTGCTGGCAGAGTCACGGGATCTGCACGAGGAGCTGGCCGGCATTCAGGAAGACATCCAGGTGCTGGCCCGGCGCGTGACCCGCCGCGACCCCTGACGCGTTGGTACCGTTGCTCGCAACACCACCAACAGCACTTATTTCTATTTCCAATTCCACACTAACATTTATAGTTATTTATAAAGTTACACGAATAGTTCAAAGTTAGTATTAATGACCCGATGATTATGCGTACAGTATAATATAGACGTTTGTTATCAATTGTTATGGTCATAATGTTATTGTTTTGTAAATTGTTAGTCACTGTGGTAATACTTAGTGAGGCGATACATTAATTAAATTGTATGACTCAGTCTAAAGGTTGAGACATGTCAATGAAATTACATGGTACAGAAGTTTTTTTATGGTGTATTTACCAACGATGGCGGTCAAGCAAGCGGCCTATTTAATGGTAAATAGTTACCATACCCTTATTCTTCTTTACCATTCAACATAACTAAGTCCTCAGAGCAATGTTGGAGAGATACAAAAGCATCTTATGACATGATCATGGTATTGATCATATATGAACCAACGGCTATCACTTTCTATCCAGTGGGCATGCTACTCACCATTCCAATTTAAAATATATGGTGTTCTTAATTTAAATAAGCGATGGCTACCACTTTCCATCCAGTGGGCAAACTGTTTATGATTCCAATTTATAAAAACAGCCTGTTAATGTAATGTGGACTCTATTCACCGCAATTAGCGTCACATTTGGGCCGTTGTGCGTGTAGAGCCGAGACTACTAAACGTAGCCAGCCAAGCTCCTCCCAGAAGCGCAGAAAACCCTGGTGTCTTCACTAGCTTTGCGGAGCAACCAAAAACAGCCTGTTATTGAACTACTAACTCATAATAGATATACACATATGTTATCAAATGTATATATTATTGTAATTTTCTCGCAAACATCGTTAGTGACAATGTGTTAACGGTTAGTGAGCAGATATATTAGTTAAGTGCAATAATTATTCGTGTAACTTTCACTCTGATTAGCTCACATTTTGTACATCGCTGTAACACAACACGCAGCACATGCACTGCACTGCACTGGCTGTTTGGCGCTATGCATGAAATAAAATCGTTTATTTTCCATACACTGGGCATTAGTTCCAGATTGTAGATATTTGGACTTCTAGTGTATATGGAATAGTGAATTTATTAACCCTGTTCAGATAGTTATATTATAGTTCATACATCTATACATATAAATAAAATTGTAGCGTCTGTTTATAATATTGAAATAACCGTTTTTTTCTACATGCATAATTTTTAATATTATGTTATTTTGGTGTACCTGCCAATAAAAGCCCCATCAAAATCGGTCCAGACTTTTCAGAGATTAGCCGGAACAAAGAAACAGACAGATAGACAAAAATTGTAAAAAAATGATATTTTGGTGTATGTACCGTATTTACATATGTAGCCAGAACAAAGAGACAGACAGACAGACAAAAATTGTAAAAAGTATTATTTTGGTGTATGTCTGGTCTGGACCGATTTTGAAGGGGCTTTTATTGGCAGGTAGCTGATGTAATAAGGAGTCGTGCTACTTTTATTTGAGAAATAACTTTTTTGTTATATCCACACGGACGAAGTCACGGGTACAGCTAGTTCATATACATATATAGTCTACATCTAGACTTCGTAAGACAACGTCTGCGTATGTTTTTATTTATTTGCTTTATCTTTTATATATAAATTTACGTGTCACGTTGTTTGTCCGCGATGGACTCTTAAACGACTGAACCAATTGCAAATTTGATTTGCGCATTGTGTGCAATTTGATCCAACTTGAAAGATAGGATAGCTTACATCTCAATTTATAGTCGCAATATTATTTTATTCAAGAACCTTAGCCACATCAACGCGTGGCCGGGTCTGCTACTATACCAATCAAATGATAATAATAATAATAATAATAATGTTTTGGCATTACAAATACATACAACCCTAAATTCGCCCTTCTATCATCAACCTCTATTTTTCAATAGCGATTTTAATTTATTTATATGGCAAAACAACGTTTGCAGGGTCAGCTAGTAGCTATATAACTTTCTTGTTATAGAAATATTATTTCTATGTATTATATTCAAATCAAATTTAATTACATACATTCGTAGCCTACAGAAGTTGTGATTATGATAAAAAAGATATCATATTATGTTTAGCCTAATGTGAAATTAGGTAAAATATAAAATTTTAATAATTAATTTATTATCAAAGACATTATTAGGTACTTCAAAATTCCTTTATGGAGTAGTTACATTTGTTCACCAATTATTTGATTTATTCATTCATTCATTCAATATGAATCGTCCTCATGAAAAATCCATGATACCGTCAGGTATTTTATTATATACTAGCTATACACGCGAATCGTCCGCGTGGTATTTAACTTTTTTTTCTAAAATAAAAGTAGGCTAAGTTACTCCTTATTACATCAGCTACCTGCCAAAAATAGTCCAGTCAAAATCCGTCCAGCCATTTCAGAGATTAGCCGGAACAAAAAGACAGACAGACAAAAACTATAAAAAATGGTATTTTGGTTTATGTACGGTATTTATATTTATATGCATGTAGTAAAAACCGATTATTTCAATATTACAAACAGACACTCCAATTTTATTTATATGTATAGATTTGTATCACCATATGGAAGACATTATAGATTAAAATCTTCAATTATCTATAATGCAAATAAAGTATGATCTATCTATGATAGATAGATAAATCATATCATCATCATCATCATCATCATCTATTATATAGGTGGTATGGGCATGTAATGCGTAGGAATGAAAAGAATAAGAATAGAAAATCATTTATTCAAATAAACTTACATTGTAGCACTTTTAAATAGTCATTACATTTTTTTAATCTACCGCTCATTCGGAAAGCTGTCTCATCACAAGAAGAACGACGGGACAAATGAAAGAGAAGAACATGTTAAGCCGACTTCAATATATATAAATGTTGTAAAGAATAAGAAAGAAGCAGATGATATCTATCTATCGTTTTATCTATCTATGTAATACTTTCAGGCGCAGAATGCGCGCGCATGTCGGTGCGCGGCAGCTGCGCGCGCGCTTTTCTCGGAGTGGAGGGCGCTGCGGTACATGGACGACGTGGTTGCTCTGCTGAAGGGCGACGTCGCAGGCGCCGTGAGGGCGAAGGCCTGGCCCTTCGCCCTCGGCCGGAGACAGCCGCACCGGAACTATATCGTGTGATCTCAGGTATATATTTTTATGTAATTGAAATGACAAAGAAGCTGACGGCTCACCTGATGGAAACCGTCTTCTATATACATAAACGTCATACTCGAGAACGGGTGCTGCTTGTAGGGACTGGTCTAATTTTGTTGCTCAACTAACTATTCATTTATTTATGTCAACTTTGCTATTAGGCAGAGATTTATTATTCACAGAAAATATAATTCTAAATAAAATTACAACAAATATTTGAAAATGTAAATCCAAATAAAATTACAACAAACATCGCGTTCCGAATGTGTGGTAGAATAAAAAAATATGACTGTTCAATAGTCTTCAATTTCAATAGTTCAATAGTTAGTATTAAGTTTATTTGAATAAAGATTATTTCTTTTTAAAAAAGAAATAATTTCTTTTTAAGAAATAATCACGTTATCACGTGACACCCGTGATACAACTCATGTCATCATAAGAGTCATGACATTTTAATCCTCTGAGATGCTCAGAGGATTAAAATGTCATGACTCTTATCCCGTAATTTATTCCCTCACTACCTTATTTCACCGGAACACATTTTACAAAGAAATTTACTGGACGAGTGTAATACTGTGAGACTGAGATACACAGGCAGACAACTTTATTTAAAGTCTACCTAGGTATTGTTTAGATAACAAACTACCTGCTTCCTCAGACATTGCACGAATATTCTCATTAAGAAACTCACTGTATAATGTAACAAAATAACTATACTTATAAAATGGAGATTCATTACCAACTTTTTTTTACTTTTCCATACTCTTTTATATATATTATAAACATTTTTCTCTTGCCACTCTAATCCTGACAATTACAAATTCAAATTCAAAAATCATTTATTCATGTAGGACATTTTAGCTGCTTATGAACGTCAAGTTTTTTACATTATAATTTTATTTTTTTCGCCTACCGTCCAGTATGGTATATAGATGCAATTGAGAAGAACTGGTAGATACAAAAAATAGAGTGAGCAAAACAGGTTCAGCCGTTCGGGAGTTCGCTGACATACATTCTAAAATTGATTATGACGGGGAAAAAAATGCTAGTATTAGGAAGAGGTGACCTCATTGTTGGACCCTTTTAGATCGACTTCCATGCGATCCCTCGCCAAATAACAAGTATATTTAATAATAATATCTCTGGAAAATTCACACAGCTCTCGTTTGCGCTTGAATCTACGCTAAAGCGTCAGTGGACAATGATAATCATCTGAGGACATTTCACACAGCGCCATCTAGTCCCAAGTTAATAGAGTTTGAGGGGTTAGTTTCTACTCGGGAAAGCGGTGTTAAGGAAAGAGCCGCACTATTCAGCCCTACTTGCATTCTACAATGCAGTTATGTGTTTAAGCAGAGCATGTGTTAATGGTACTAGACAACTAATATAAATACTTAGATTTTTTTTTATAAAAGCTTAATAAAAAAAATTACAAAAAGTATATGAGTACAAGAGTCATCAGCATCATCGGCTTCTTCCTTACTCCTTTCATGACCTTCAATGAAAGGAGTAAGGAAATAATATATTTTTCTCTTCCATTCATCCCTGTAGGCAGTCATCTCGTTATTTGCTCTCTTTCTTACCATATCATCTTTCACGAAGACTTTCTGACCTCTCCGACATCTAACTACAAGTTTACCGCCCGATAAATCGAACCTGCGACCTGCGAAATAAAGCGGAGTGTTAAACCACTGGACCACCGAGGCCGTCAAAAATAATACCGGGATGTATTCACTGATGTGCCTTTATTTTTATCCTAAAAACACCCTCCACTAACATATATATATTGAGAATACATGAAAAAAATATATATTGATACATATATATGAATTATTCAGGGCTATCATTACTCTGATAATAATAATAATCTCAGGACAATTCACACAGCGCCATCAAGACCCAAGTTATGCTAGCTAAAGCTTGTGTTATGGGTACTAGATAACTGATACAAATACATTGATACATTTTTTTCGTAAATGCATACATATTATACATAGAAAATATCCAAACCGATACAAACAATCATACTCAGGAATACAAATGTTTGTGCCTTGCGAGGAATCGAACCCGCGACCATCGGAAATAAGGCGGTGTGCTAAACCACTAGATCACCGAGGTCGTCAAATACTATATAAATATTCAACAATATTCTCAATCAAAACTCGACCATTCCATTTCTTTGTCTCCTTTTCTTCTATCTTTACTAGCTTTTGCCCGCGGCTTCGCTCATGTTAAATTATCCCCTAAGGGGTGGAATTTATCAAAATCCTTTCTTAGGGGATGCCTACGTCATAGAAGCTTTATGCATGCAGTCTCAGCCCGATCGGTTTAAAATTAACAAAGTTTCATACAAACTTTCATCCCCAATTTTATCCCTTTGGGGGTAGAATTAATCGAAATCCTTTCTGAGCGGATGGCTACGTCATCACATCTACCTGCATGCCAAATTTCAGTCCGATCCGTCCAATGGTTTGGGCTGTGCGTTGATAGATTCAGTCACCTTTGAGTTACATACATATATTTAGATGTTAAAAAATACATTACTAAGGTTTCAAATGTAACTTTTGTAAGTCAAGTGCGGGATAACGGGCACAGATATAATAATAATAATAATAATTTACTTTGTTTAACAATCTTTCTTACATAATATTTATCTTAATCAAATTTTTTTTTTATACAACTATGGTGGCAATCAAGCATACGGCCCATCTGATGGTAAATGGTTACCGTAGCCTATGAACGCCTGAAACACCAGGGGTATCACTTGCGCGTTGCCGACCCTTAAGAAACCTTAATATACCTTTCTTGAAAATTTTCACACCGATACTTAAAAGTTGTCTTGCTGTCCAGCATACGCCTCCTCTAGAGTTCGCCATTGAATGCGATTCCGTGCTACTCTTTCCCACGTATGTCCCGCTATTTTTTTAATATCGTCTCCCCATCTACGACTCTGTCTCCCTTTCCGTCTTTTATATTGTCTCGGGCACCAGTCTGTAACGTCTTTGGACCGTTTATCTCTCTTGCTTCTAATCATATGTCCTGCCCACCTCCATTTTAGTTTTTTACTACAGTAGATTGCATCTGTGATTCTAGTTTTCTTCCTTATAGTATCTAGTTTAATTTTGTCTTTTAATTTGATGTTCAGTATGCTTCGTTCAATACTGTGTAGGGCACAACTATACTCGTACACAATTGAATTATCAAAGAAAAATTGAATTACTTTAGAAGCCATACTATGACCAAAGTAAAGAGGAGAGTATGTTAGAAACCAAACTACGAATTCATTGTTATATCTGCCCCGAATTCATTTCCGAAACTGTATCGAACGGAAATAAAAACCGTAACTCAAATGACGTTAAGTGCATATTGCGCTGCATGCCAGCGGTCTCATACTCGTATATTTTATTTATTTTAATAAAATAAATAGTATATTCTACGTCGACGAAGCCGCGGGTAACAGCTAGTAATTAATAAGAATACATTCATGCATATAGTTGAAATTTAAAGAATGCATAAATGAAATGAAATGATATTCATTTCAGTGCATTATTGGATGTAAAAAATGTTTATTTTATGTTTATTTTTTAATTATGGTAAATTAAGTTTAATTATATGTACATTTTATTTGCTCTTTTTTTTTCCTTTGTTGTTTATATTGTATTTTTTACATTGCACTGAATAAAATATTTTTCTTTCTTTCTTTCTTTCTTTCTATTTATTCAGTAGATGTTAAAAAAATTAAAACACATTAAACAATACAAAAAACTCAATCATTGCAACGATTACAAAAAGTAATAAAAAAAAGTATAATACATTTACCATATAAGTACATTTGTTATAAAATTACAATTTACGTGTTTGCGCGTGTGCGTGCATGTGTGTCGACGCATCTACCGAATAGGTCCGTGCTCAGTATAATGCTGCAAGTGCATATGATAGTATTTTCGTTTATTGTTTTATAACGATTAAAGTCTCAACGGACCTTGTTGCGGGTAAATAATACGAAAATTGTTGATTGAGACGATGTATATAACAGATGATAATTGACTGACAATATGTACATAGAAATAATGATCTTATATACTAAATAACAATAGGAAAATGTAAGGTGGGGCGACACAGTTTAGACACAGCAGTGCTTAGTAGACAATATTAAATTTGTCTTACTAGACATTATTAAATGCAATTATTATTTTGATGTATCTAGGTGACTGTGTCCCATAGACCTTAATGATTTCATTCAACGAAAATATAATAATAATAACAATAGTAATAAAGAGAAAACCAGCAAAAGCTGAGAAAAAATAAAATAAAGAATAATAATCTCAGGACAATTCACACAGCGCCATCTAGACCCAAGTTAAGCTAGCTAAAGCTTCTGTTATGGGTACTAGATAACTGATACAAATACATTGATAATATTTTTTCGTAAATACATACATGTTACAAATATAAAATACCCAGACCGATACAAACAATCATACTCATGAATACAAATGTTTGTCTCGTGCGAGGAATAGAACCCGCGACCATCGAACGTAAAGCGGTGTGCTAGACCGCTAGACCACCGAAGTCGGTCGAAAATGAACAGAGAATATATTTTCTCTAAATAAAAAATTGTATGCTGTTTATAAAACTACTAGATGACCTGCGCGACTTCGTCTGTATAACAGTTTCTTATATTACACTTATCTTTATACATACATAATTTCTTTTTAAAATTACTAGCTGTAAGTACATATATTAGTATAGTACATATAAACCTTCCTCTTGATTTGTGGAATGAACTAACTGCCGAAATTTTCTCACGAGACTACAGCCTGGGGTTTTTCAAGAAGGGTTAATTAAGGTTTCTTAAGGATCGTCACGTGATACCCCTAGTGTTTCAGGCGTCCATAGGCTACGGTAACCATTTACCATCAGATAAGCCGTATGCTTGTTTACCACTGTTATTACATTCACAATTTAAGAGCGTCGCTCTTGTCGGTGCA